TCAGCAAAGGGATAGAGTCCTAGCTAATTACAAAGCTAACATATAATAGTATTGCATTAGCAGCCCAAGAAATTCCTATTGAATTGCATACATCTGAAAATAGAAAGACGTGCTTGTGCTGAAACTTAATTATCTTGGCAAAAACTGTGAGGGCCAGATTCTCAGAAGACATAAACACAAAGCTCTGCTTTACACTCCCAAGGATCTAATTCTTTGTTTATTCAGATAACCTCCATCAGATAAAACTTAGCATCTGGATTGACTAATTTGCCTTATTATTTATGGTATCTACAGCTAAATAATACAATTACTACTCAGCTTGTGAGTAGGAAAAAGAATACTGCTGATCTACAAATACAAGGTCTGAAAGAGACAATCAGCGTGCTCTGCCAGGTTAAAAATGTTAATGCTGTTGCATTCCACCCTAGGCAAGGAAGACAAGCCTTTTTCAAGGACAGCTCTGACTGAAATTCTTTTTTATGGGTTCAAAGTAAAACATTATGGTAAAAAATGAATACAGCTTTGTTTGTTTCTTCAGTCATCGTTAGCAATAGACATAAGGGTATTCTGGTTTTGAGCCCATATGGAAAGATCATCAACACTTTCTGCTTCTGGGTCCTTTGCCAAAATACCATATCCCACATGCCTTTTACCTTAAAACATAAAAGAAAAGGTGTTGTTCTGGTCAAATAAAGAAATAATTTTTACTAGCATACGTCTAATGTTAAAGCTGCCTAAATCCTGCCAAAGACATTAAAACACCATCTGCAAAACAGATTTTCATTAAATTGATCAGTTTAAAGTTAAGCAGCTAGGCAGATGATGCTTTTGAGCTAACCTTTAACCTTTAACCTTCTTAAACTGAAATCAGGTCACTCCTTTTGGGTAATATCTTTGCCGTTTGAGAACACGAGAGGTAAGGTGACCTATCCAAATTGAACTGACAATCATAACATTAATAGTGTTATAGATCAATATTTTGTCAATGAAGGGAAAACCAAGGTGGTTTTCACACAGCTGAGTATTAGTCTGCTAACTGCTGCCTATCACTTTCCCTGAGCCCCTAAACAGTTGCACAGATGATGTAAACTGCAGTAAATATCCAATATAAAAGTAATGTCTATTAAAGCTATTATCAGCTAATGGAATAATATTTTTGATGGACTAACTTCAAATACTTATTTGTGATTAGAAATTGATCATGTCATTCAGTTACTTGGTTAACTGAAACTTCTTTTTAGTCACTCCAGTTTACTTTGCAAAAAGGCTACCCTGTATGTATTTATTTATTTATTTAAAGTATTTGGAAACTATTTTATGAGCACAGGACGTGATATATGCAGTTCCCTGAATCAAAAGCTATTTGACTAAGCTACAAAATGGCTTCCTTAAGAGCAGTTCCAGCTATATGTACTTTATATCCACAGAGACAGATCACTGTCCTGCCTTAGCTTCCCAAATCTGCAGAAGTTGAACGCTTCCTCCTGCAGAATGGAAATGCACTCTGTTGCTATAGAGGCTTTCTCTGTTTACTTGTGGAGTCACTGAATGCTCCTTGATGGACGCAGTGAAGGACTTGTAACTCTTCTGTGGTTTAATTTGCTAATATCGAGCACCACAATTCCACATGTAAGTCTTTGGGAAATTCATTTAGGCCAAGCTGAGTTCACTCAGGGTAAGGCCATCTTTGTTCTGGTTCCTAGCAGCTGCATTACCAACACCATTTGAATACTGCACTTCTGTAAGGAGCAATCAGGCCATTTCTTTTTTAAATAACTTAAAAAACAGCTAAAGGTTTCACTTTGCCACATTTAGAATCTAACTCTAAAAGTGACATTTCAGTACTGCCTAAAATTATACAGCTTCAGAAGAGAAGCTCTGATGTTCATGGTCGCTTTAAAAGCTACTGTTATGAAAAGACATCCTTTTATTTCATCAATAGTTGAGCACAGGAAGAGAAATCAAGCTGTTACGGCAACATTTATAAAAAGAAAATTCACAAAACAATAACATTTAAATAAATATAAATTACTAAAGAAAAAACTTTGAGGTACTTGACAAAGCAAAGGAACAAAGTCACAGATTCTTTTTCTGTGCTTTCAGATGGTTTTAGTATTAAAGTTTTTATTGCCAAACCATATTCACAGCACCTTAATTTTAAAAGAGTTAGAGGAGCTGCTTGAATATAAACACAATTCATGAATATTCGATATCGCTCCCAAGGCATATATCTATTATTCATACAAATTAATGTTCTTTTTTTCCTTAGGTACTCTAAAAGTTTATCTGATGTATGAAGAGAAAAAAAGTTTACAACTCTCTTGGTGTCAACAGCTTCACCAAGACCTGACGAAGCTATCAAGTCTGCTAGCAGATAACTTTACAGACTTTCAAAATCTCATTTATTTCCACCTTGAGGCCTAAATGTACACCCACAACTAAAAGTAAAGTTTTCTGGGTGACTTGCAGAGGCATTACATTCTGTTATAAAGCACACACATCTAGAACATTTTGGTTATTTGGGACACATTGTAGTACTGCCAACCCCAAATCTTAAAAAAATACTACTACTAATACTCCAATTGATACTTTAAATAAGTCATTCTTCTCCTTCAAATTAGCCTTAAAATGAGATTATATAAAAATAGTGTGTGCACGAGTACATGCTATCTGCTTTCTGCCAGTTGTTAAGCCTAGCGGGGTTCAAATTTCCAAGCTTCTCTGAGAAGTCATGAGGGACAGAAACTTTAAAAAGCTGAGATTCTCCCTAGCAATCCTACGGACAAGTCTTTAAAAATACATTATCAGGAGACTTGCAACCCTATAGTTACCAGCAGTACACTTTCAATTGTCCTTCTGTAGGACACGAGGGTGTCTAAGCGCTTATGCATTCCTTCTCCACTGGGATGTCTTTTACACTAACTGATTCAGATACTGAACTTAAAAGGTTAGCGATGGTCATTTGCCATGTACAACAGCTGCACCACAAAGGCACTACTGAATTGCTCCATCTAACAAATCAGTATATGGCAAAGAAGCAGGTTCAGCGACAGGACATTTTTAGTGATGAGGGCTCAGAGATGAGACTCACTCTCTTAGTATGTTAAATCAAATGTTTTGCAGGACATGCTGCAAACCCTAACATATTTGACGAAGATTTCTCTAGAGATCGGGTTGAGTGAGTGAGGAGACAGTGCTGTTTTGAGTAGACAGTTTGTACCTTGCAACTCCATAGCTATGCCTATAGCTTTATTGAAAAAAATAAGCAACTGGCATCTTATTTTCCACAATTTCTGAAGCTTTGCCAGTGAAGCCATCTGAGAGAAGCCCTCTGCCTTCCCACCTCTCATTCTATCATTCCTGTCTGTGACACGGTTTGCAGCAGCATCTCTCTGAATGGTGGCATTATAAAACAGATCATTGAAATCATCCAGGTGGGGACCAATAATGTTTAACTCAGATCATTTAAAAACCTGACTTAGAGTGTGGCTGCACAATCAGTGTAAGTGGAGGGAGCAAGGAACCGCTTCCCGGATGACAGGAGGCAGGAACTTCTGAAGGCAGTTTTGTTGCTAAGGCAGACTAACTGTGCCACTAGAGTCTCAGTTCTTTTGGCACTTTTTAAAACAGGAGTCTAGATCTTTAAAAAAACCTGACAAATAAGCACAACCCTCCCACTCCCCTAGAGTTAAGGAAAAATGCAATTTAAATAAAATACACAATTAAATTAGCAGAGCAGCCAGCACTGTGGGACAATAGAATAGACCCGATCTTGTGTTACTGCCATTTTTGTCCACAGCAGATCCACCAAGGTTGCAACTATCAGGTTATAAAATGAAAATCTATGTGGCTGCCTGTGCACCCCGTGTTAGCTCGGAACAACCATTTGAACATGGTTGAACACCAGCAAAATGTTATTTCTTGCTTAAACTAGAGGTCTGCTGAGGCTTTTCTGCCTTTGTTCCATGTGTACACATTTTCAACATGATTAGAAAACCAGCATAGTTGCTGTAATCAGCAGATGACTCCTGATAGTTTAGTTATCACAGATTTCTAGTATAAATCAATAGATAACACTTGCAAAATGGATTTTCTAATCATATTTAGAGCTTGTTACAATGACTAATGGTTTGCAATATTTCCTGAATTTTTATATCCCCTAGACAAAAGAAGTTTTTAATAAGTTACAAAGTTATTCATCTTGGAAATGAATGTGTTATATTTTGTACATGAACCAAGACAATCAAGCCAATCCAGTAAACACACTGCAGAAAATAAGTTACCCCATAATTAGGGTTTGGAAAAAGTCATGACAAGTTGTGTAATAAATGGTATTCATCACTCCCACATATTCATTATATCCACATAGTTTTTTCCAGTAAAGATAAAAATATAGTTGCCATTCTACTAACATATTTATCTACACCACACCCTTTCATGTTTGTGAAATATCATTACTGGCTTGGAAAAGAAGGGCAGACAAAAGGATGATAGTGCTTACTTTTGAATATCCTTGGTAATAATGTGGCATATTGCATGTGCTTACTGAAAATACCAATGTAAAGTAACTTGGCTGTGATAGATTATGGTTGCAAACAGATACATATGCCAGAAAGTGATCTCCTTCCCTATGCACGGTATGGAAAAATCATTGTTTTCCATAATCTCCATCAAGCTTCTGATCAAAATGTAATGGAGAAAGTCTGAAAGATTATGAGAAATGTAAACCCCCTCCAGTCATTTATTATGAGAGAACTTTTTAAAAAAACCTTACATTCCCTGTGTTCATAGAAAGTGCATCCTAAACAGGCCCTCGGGTGAATCAACACAACTCATCGGGAACACTCCTCCCTGACTAGCTTACATGGGTTTTGTCCAGTTATACGCATGTTCAATAAACATTTATCGTGCTGATTAATCAAAGTCTTGTTTGATTAGCACTGAAACGGTCAGCTTCCTAGTCTACTTGGTGCCGACTGCAATTGCTGTCACGGGCTTAC